AGAGGAGAAGCTCGGCCAAACACTTAGCAGAAAGTATTTATTTTTGTTTTTTTTTGGGATAAATACTTACTTTAATTTTTTGATGTCCATCGCAAGATGTCTAGCTGGTAATTGCATGCATTGAGCGGATTGAATCACACTTTTTTAAATACATTTTAAAAGAAAATCCCCATTTCCTCTTCCTCCCTTGAAGAGGATGAGGCAGCTCTTAGATACCCAATAAAAGCTCATAAACCTTTTATTATTTTTTTTATTTTATTTTTTTGGGGGAAAAACAACTTTTCATAGAAATGGTAAAGATTTCTTGAAAATCGAAATTTTTCGATCGTAAAACTTTGTGCCTCTTCAGGAGATTCTCAGTAATAATACTCAATGATTTATTTAACCATTTTTAGCTGGTAATTGTGTTTTATAGGTCGCAGGTTCAAATGCCGGCACATGCAGCATTTAAATGATAGAAAAAAACTTGTTAATATACAAAATCTATAATTTTCATATGCAATTTTAATAACATTTTCAATCTTGATAACTTATGAAGAAAAGAGCTTTTTATTTCTGTGCTAGAATTACAATTCTTGATAAATAATAAAAAATTGAAAATAGACACGAATTATGAATTTATATTTGCTATCTAAGAGCTGCATTAAAATTTCGACTTTAGTATTTTTTTTTTGGACCAGCCTAATCGGACATGCATTTACATGCTGCTCGAAGGTCTTCGCTGATAATTCAAGTTTGAAAAGAAGTCGGTCATTTTCCTCCATTGCTTCCTCTTCGGCTTTAAAAATCTGCTGCAAAAAGTCTAAACTTCGTGACACCAGCAGTTGTGGCTGTGAGCTTAGACTCGCCATTTACTTTAAGCTGAACTTTTTCCTGGGGTTATCAGAAATCAGAAAGTTATTGGTGACATGCACCGAGAATCACTGAACACCTAGGCGAGCTCTAGTCCTGCGATTGGCTCTCTAAGTTTTTTTTTTCTAAGTAAAAATCAAACAAACAAAAAATAGTATACAGTCCGTAAATAAAATAAATCTGTTCTATCATTTACTGGAAATATCTGCATTATTCCTTATCCTTCTAGGTACCTGTCTCATACTGAGTTACTCCTACGATGTGGTGCCCCTGCAATTTGAAATCAAATAATATTTATAGACAGTGCCCAAAAAATCAATGCACTTCACTACAAGATATTTTTTTTATTTTAACACCCTTTACAGAAATATTAAATGATTCTCCAGGCAACAGGAACAACTTTACAAAGCACTGCAGCAAAAAAAAAAATAAAATTTCAGTTCACACTGTGAAGTTATGGGCATAACATTTTCTTGCCCAGCATGCATTTCTCCAACGTGCTCATCCGCGTATCCACAAATACATGGTATGAGTGCTTCCACAGCAAAGCAACTCTGTGTTATGTAGTTTCTTGTGTGCATGTAAATTTTTGCTATGTCTTTTTTTCAATTTAGTAGCGCCCTAGTGGTACAAAGTACTAGTAGAACGCAGTAGTGCCAGTGATTTTATTATAATGCGAAGTTGTAATTTCAAGTCATATCTCGTACAAGTTGTTCGAGTGCAGTGCAAAAGAGAAAGGGAGAGAGAAGGAAGAAGAAAGCATTCATCGCCTTTTCGCACACTTGCTTACTTTTGTGCCTTCTTTATTCCTTTTGACAATTTCTTTATAAGTGTCGCATAATGCATACTTGTCACACGTTAACACACTCACACACACACACACACACACACATACACACACATTTATTTAGTGCCCGGGATGATAGGTATAATAAAAATATATTTTTACGCAGACTATAGAAAGGATAATAGGAAATTAAGTGATATGGTTAGCAGAAAAAAGCTTCCAAGGACGATCTTAATGAGAGTGAATCTTTTTAGCGCAGTTCAGAGAAATAAAGATTTCTTTTCTCGTTGTTCGCGTATGTGGAAACAAGATTTTACAATATACATAAAGCGCGCAGTGAAGCGAACAATTTTTGTTGCCGCAAAATTCGCTGTTATTAAATGAATGTTAATACGTACAGTCGTATGTATATGTATGTACATACTTATGTATACTGTCGCATACACTTGACTCATAGACATTTTGCATTAGTCTGCAATATTATTTGTGGCTTTAAGTTCCTTGTCTCAATAAGCCTTTGCGTTCGAGAAAAAGTCTATTACATACATAGGTATGTGCATTTATAATAATGTATGTACTTGCCTACTTCGTCTTAGATTCATATCCATATTTACATAGAATTCTACAGCAGTACGTATAAAAACTTTCTTTTAATAAAAACTTTATTTAAAGGTATGAGCAAAATCACGAATAGGCTGCCTTCGTATATGTGCGCTTTTGTTTCGGTTATTATGTCGGAATGGGTAGGCCAAACATAATGTTTAAAATTACTTTCTTTTCATTTAATATTAATTAATTCTATTAAAATTTTTTTTTTGAAATACCTTAAATCGCAGGCTATGAGGCTAAATGACAAGAGTATTACAATCACTGCACGAAAGACAGTTCTGCTCGAAAATAATGTTATTTTTCAGAAGCGCGACCGAAGTATGCATTCTTAAAACAAGCGAAAACGAGCGTAAAACCTGCGATTTTTTACCATTTTTCTAAGGACTCCCTTAGTTTTGTATTAGCCGGTTCATACTCTCATTAAAAAGTTGAACTAAAGGTACCACACCTCATCCACCTTCGTCCACCATACCTTTAGCCATCGCACATACATTATAGGAAAGTTTCCTCTAAATAATTTACAAATTTATACTACATATAAAGGCAGTAAAGAGGGAAAAGTGAGCGAAGTAGCCTTGGTAAATGAATACATCTGTCACAGCACAAACTTCACATGTCCCATGAGGGTTTTCTCAGTATGCTCAATGTTTAAGTAAGTCGTTTTATCCCCGCTAATATTCGTGCTAGTTCCGACGAAATTCTACTAAGCTTCAGACAGATTGATTTTGACCTTGAAAAGTTGTCTCAATGCCAATCTGAGCATGGTATGGTATATAGATTCGCAATCTTCTAGCCATATATAAGTTTACGCGTACAGCCGGCTGCCAGGAGGTATACAATGAATTACAGGAACCTCACTCAAGTCCAGCCTTTTAGGCGAAGAGCTTGCAAATGTCTCATCCATTCTGCTAGACGTACCTACCTGAATTGTCACTTGAAGGATATGAAAACACTGCCTTGGTTAGATAACGTGAAACAAAGAAAACTAACCTTTCAGACTTATAAAAAGAATTACGTACATGCAAAGAAAAATTTTCCGCAGTAAGAACTCTAACCAATGACATATTCATCCCCTTGAACACATGCATTCGTACATACATACGTGCATGGCTATGAGCACAAACGAAAATATATGCTGCTTTCATTCATCTAGTCTACGGTACTTTGCGACAGCAAAGGGAATGATTTACCACTTGATTTGTGTGATTTACGCATTTCGCGGTATAGCAGCGAACATTGAAAGCGATTGCGTTTATAAATTAAATTAAATTGCAGCGATTTGAGCTGGAAGAGCTCTTAGTTGCAATAGTTTGTAAATATTAAAAGTATCTGTGTAAGCTTTTCTGAAAATCCGGAAAATTACATGATTTTTTGTTTTAGATTTAACTAGCGCTCATTGAAGATTGAGGGTTGAGAAAAAGTATATTTTTGTAATTATAAAGTTGTACGGTATCAACGGAATTTTCATAGAAGAACAGGGTTGGCTTTTTAAATTGCTAAAAATAACTATATTAAATTTTTACGCATTTAAGAAGCGTGCATGTGAGCATTCTAGTTTAACTTAGTCCTTGTGTTTTTTAAATACCACTATGCATTTAAATCCAGTTCTTTTCTTGTACTGCACGTTTTAGTATTTACTGTTTTTTGTACAAATATATCATTTGCATTTCAGCCCTACCTAAATGGCTTACGCTTTGTTTTGACCATCTTGGGCGGTACTGTATCGGTGATGGGCAGTCGTGCCATTGGTTATCCCTCAGCTGGTGCACTCGGCTGCATGACAATCGCATTTTTTGCCGGCATCGGTTGGAAGAGCCAGCAACAACGACTCACTGCACAGCAACGTCAACGTCAGTTGGAAAATGAAAATGTAAGTTCGTAGTTATTTGGAGCGGCATCATAGTATGTGTATTCATTCTAAATATAAGAGGAAAAAAATTGCAAAGTAAACCAAAAATAACAACAAACACCCACAGAAATGGCGTCAGTGCAATGGTAGGCTTATAGTCACAGAGCTCCTTTGCTACCCATTGACTGCACTGTCTTTTAGTTAAGCATAGTGAAAAGGTTTTTGGGACAAATAGTGATTTCTTTACTAGATTTTATATTTAAATCTTCCAGAGTAGATACGTATGTATGGGAGTGTGCGCATTTGTGTTTGCATGCATGCGCGTTCATTTGGAAAGGGGATTTCGTCGTCAAATGACAAGTGGGTGTGTTTTTGCTGCTGCAACTGCTACTTTTCGACATCTGACATGCTGGTTGGCATACATATACATAGAACTGTATGTAAACGCACGACTAGGTGTGTTTTTTTTGTTATTTTTTTTCTCCTCTGTATGTCAAATTACTCTTCTCCGAGGATTGAACTGCTCCTCCTATTAGATACGGTCAACTGCGCTGTGTGTAAGCCGATTTTCCGATTTTCTGCCTGTGGTTGGTTCTGAACAACAAAAACAAAACAAAAAAACGTAGAGCACTGGAGCTTTAAAGCACACATTTTCCTGAAATACGGTACTAACTACATATGACTTGGAACTACTAAAGAGGTGGCAACTCGTTTGGAAAATAGAAATGATGAAATAAAGCCTTATTGAACTACTTTCGATTGACATATCGACCTCTTTGCGTGAAATGACTAACCATTTATTTTCGACTATATAATTAGTAGTCTTTCTTTTCTTTCAATAAATATTGATTTTCGATTAATTTGTTTGAATATTTATACCATAGCTGAATTAATTTTAAAACCCAAAATTAAATTTGTTTTGAAATGAGATACATGTATTCTTACCTATGGGTGAAAAAATTCCAAGCCCATTTTTTTAAATTGCTCAGGACAGATGAAAACGTGCCATTCTGCATTTGAAAAAAATAAATGGACTAGGGACCTTTTCACCTTTAGGTAGCTATATGTATGTTAGAGCGGGTAATTTTTTTTGACTATGCGCGTGTAGCATAGAAGGATTCGAAGAACATTGTCCACAGAAACCATGGGTCCAAAATCAATTTTGAGTTTGCCAAATTGCAAAAATTGGTTTCGAAGAAAATGTGAAAATCGGTACTGTTACGCCCTGTGGTGGAAATTTAAGGAAAAACTCCTTATAGAATTTTTTTTTTTTATAAAAAATTGAAGCACTTCTGTCGTCAACACTACACAAAAATGCTAAGAAACCTATTTTCGCAATTTGACAAATTCCAAATTGATTTTTGATCCATGGTTTCTTCGAAAATGTGCTAAGAATTACACTTAGAAAGCATCTGTGCTAGCCGAAAAAAAAATATTGACCCGACCTAATGTATGTAATTATTAATATTCAGACGATGTTGAGCGGTTAGTCGAAAGTGAACTGTGCGGTTATTCGAATATTTGCTTTTCGCTTATTAAGTGGCTAATCTAATAGCGGGATAGCCGGTTTCTAATATGAGCTCTAGTCTGCTATTATACCGACATACAGACAATGTTGAACCATCTCGTTCAAAGATCTACGACATTCAGTAAAGAAGTTTGCGGTACCTATATGAGATTGTCAAGCTTGCAACGCAGCCTGACTGCCAGAGTAAATGAAGACTTGTAACCTCGCTGCAGTCCATTGAGAAAGACTCCATTTTGTTTCTTGCATGAGCAACACTTCTGCTGGATATACACTGTGGTGGTCGAGAACTCGAAGAAATGTATCCAACCTTAGTTTAGGTGAAGAATATAAACCTCAGACCCGGTCTTGAAGTTTGTCAGCTGTATGAATAAAAGCTTAGGTCGGTTCTCTCAATCCATGGGCTTTAGTTTTAAGTCTCAGCTTTGGAGCTATCGAATCTAGTAAAAGTAGATGCAACTTGATATTTGCGGCTTTTGTGGGCATAGAGCAAAAGACCTCGCTTGGGCGCTCCTACTCTGAACTTTTATTTCTTTCTTCGTTGAAGTATTTTTTATGCCTCGTTTTTCGCGGTCAGCTTTTGAGCTCGCGCCTTATTCTTGTCTAGTGACGATATATTTTATTTCAACGGAAAATCACACTTATTAAATTGTTTCCAATTAATTTGGGGTTAATTTCGGCTGAGACTTACCTTATTCGAATATTCGGGATAGAACTCTAGGCCGCAGTTTGAATACTTAAGTCTGTATTGTTTAATATTGAAATTTACTTATTCATTAAACTGAAATTGAATTTTTAAGCAGATGACAACGTTCTTCAAAAATGTTTTCAAAATAAAGCATTTGTAAATGTTTGTAGTTTTACGCCGCATGGTAATGTTTCATTAATCTTATTAAATTGAACTTGAACTTTTCCAAAGGTGGCAACTCTTATTGCAAACATTTTAAAAATAAAGCTTTTGTAAAGCGCTCTGGTTTGGCACCCACATTAAAGTTTTCCACTTAAATTATTAACTGAAGCTGAAATAAGTGCCAAATCGTTTCAAAAGTTATCATTTATGTTAATCAAAGCTATAAGCTGCGAGATCTAACCACCAAAAAGACAGAAGTGAAATTTTTGTCAAAATTTGATTTTTATGCAGAAATATGTATACCTAGAGCAAAAAAACAAAATATTTTGAAAAAATATCGCTTACGTCTTTTTGGCCGTTAGAGCTCGAGTCATTAGAAGACTAATTATACAAAGTGCTAAAATATTGACTTGCATTCCAGTGTGTAGTGTATAGAGAGGATTCAATACCTATAACACGAACTTGTATAGAATTTGTTTGCTTACAGCCGAAAACCAGAAATACTTTTGCTTTCTTGCTGCCATCAGACTAGCGCTTTCGTTTAATAGACAAAAGTGGCGTGGCGTATACGCAACATGTCAGTAATGGTATTCACATAATACAGATTCGTACGTAAAATTGTCGAGAAAGTACCAGAAAAAAAAGATTCTGTCTAAACATTCCCCAAAAATGTCCATTAGAAATGCAAGCAAAAATAAGAAAATTCCTAAATAAATCAAAGAAAAAAAAATCAAGCCATAACCGATACTTCCTGCTTCCTTCCATCTAGTCAATATACACATAACTAGATTGTGTGATTTTACATTTTGTTGACACTTCACAATGCAATGAAGCTTATGACTGTTGACTTGTTTTGCATCGCACTATGATATTTCTCGCTAAAAGTAAAAATAGTAAAAAGTTCACTTGCATTGCTCACATGACTTCGGTGAAGGCGATGGGTAGAGCTGCCATCATCAATTCCAAGCTGTGTGCATTTTGCGTTTTCTTGTATAAATCCCTTTATTTTTCCCTCACTTGCTATTTGCACTGCCAAGCCAATAGAGGTGTTAGAAAAAATTGTTTTGTTCTGGGCGAAAAAAATTACGATTGCAATGCTTGCAGCGCATTGTTTTTACTCACAAGTTTTATGAAATTTTTTTTTTTTTTACGCCTGTCTTGTTGTTTTCCATTGTTGTCCTTTACAGCTGCAAAAGTGGCTCTTCATTGCTGGTCATATCATATGTTTGCTTGTCGCATAGCTTACTTTGATCGCAACTAAACTCACTTGGCACGCTTGACACCATTTTTTATTCACTTTTGCAGATATTGTTTGCTGTTGTTGGTGTTGTTGTGCCTTTTAACAGACCAAGTGTGTGTTTCATGCCATTCATTAGACACTTGACGGAAGTGCAAGTGGCAGCCAACCGAAGTGTCGGTGAAGCGTATAAGAAGAAAGACGGCCAACCAGTCAGTCAAGACAGTCAGTTAGACAGTTAGTTGGGCCGGTCAGTCGGTCAGGCAGACGAGATCTGTTGTTACAAGCAAACCCAGCTGGTGTATGAAGGCGAGGAGTAGGGGCATGAGCTGTCAGGTAGGCGGTATGACACAAGCTAAGCTGAGTGGTAAACAACGAACGGAAATAGAAACAAACGGAAAATGGTCAACACTTTTAATTGTGAGGAAATGCAAATGTTTTTGTTTATTTTTAAGCCTTCCTTTTGGCTTAGTGGCATGCTTGGGGGAATGGTTGACGTTAGCTGTCGATAAAGATTGGGGAAAAAATAACTGTATTTTGCAAGTGTGTAGCAAAAGTCTTAAGCACTTTGGTAGTTGGTAAACAATGCAAAATTAAGTGGCCGATTAACTTTGTTAGCTTTGGTAAGAAGTGGATGACTTGCCTCTGGCAACGATGCCGCAATATACATATATTCGATTTATTGCACAAAAAAAAACTGTAATTGCTTTTTAGTGTAAAATTTCAACAGGCTATGCCCGGGTGCACCAACCAATTTAAATTTTATAATTTTTTTTCGGAAAATTTGTCATTTTAAATTTTAGCAGTCTGATAAAATTTTAAATTGTTTTTTATAAGTGTGGGACTAGTTTTTTAGATTACCATGACATTTTCAACTTATAAAAGATTTCAGTAAAACAAAGTCAACTTTGGTAAGACCTTATTATGGTTGCCGACGTCGATGGTCAAAAAAATAGTCTTCGCAAGTCCAAAGCCAGCTACGTTAACTACATTATTTTTTGCGGAAAGGTGTTCCTCGAAAAACTACTGTAGTCAGCGAAACCGGAGTTGAACTGATGAGGGATATTTTTTTTGACGAATATCAAAAACAGAAACGATTTACTACGAAAATCACTGCTTTTTAAGATATTTTGCTAATCAGGCTGCTTAAAATTACAGCCATAAACGAACTTAAGAATGCTCGGCTGCTATACCTATACATATGTAGGCGTCATTGTGGGTGTGACTGCCACGATTAGCGGATAAATGGATGTCATACAGCAACTTATCCTCCAATAATTTTTTTTTGGATTTTTTTTTTTTACGTAAAAAGGCCCACTTGCATCAAAGAGTTAAGGCGCCTATTTTAAATGGTAACATGTGCACCTTGGTCAATGTATAAAACTTGCTCGAGATTGGCAGAATATGTGCATTCACTTTTGTGTAAAGAAAATGTGTAGAGATGGGAACCGTAGCCTTGAGCTTAATCAGTTTTGTCATCTGAGGTGATTTTTTTCAAAAAGTTCTTTAATAAACTATTTTTATTCCTAAAAAACTCCATTTTTGGAGGTATTTTCAAATCGGCCCAGCTCTATTAAATCTCAATATTTTTCGGAAATATTTTGCTAGACGTCTTAAAGTATAATAGGTTTTGTAATCTCGGCAGAAAAACCGCATTTTTTTTTTTTGCGAAGCAGTCTAATGTACATACAAACATAATACTAAAAAATAAACTTTTCATTCATTTTACTTTTGAATATTTCCTGCACAATTACCGCTTAATTTTCCACACCTACAATTTTAACGAGCATCTCATTTAATTTCATACACTTTTTTTCCCCCGACTCTTTTTCATCTATCTGTATAGTAAGTAGTCAATTCATCACCGTTCTTTTTGTTTACTTACAGTCGTCGGTGGCCGCGCGTCTTGACCTCTTGTGGAAATTCTTGAAACCTGTCTCATTCTCGCTCATCGGCAAAGAAATTAATTTCGCTGTGTTGGATGGCCGAGTCGTCGGCTATGGTGCACTGCTGGTGCTGCTCGGAAGTTTGGTAATTAAACTCGACTGTTTTGCAACAACTTTTGCCATTTTGCGAATTTATTTTGCGGTGCGGTTTATATGTACAATGCGGCGGCGGGCGTAGACTGTTGTTTGGCTACATATTCGTTTGCCCCATTGCAGCTATAAATTAAGATGTTTTTGTATGTACTATGTACTATACATACATACAGATGTACGTACTGGTGTACTACATACGCGTTGGTATGGTTGCTAGCTATTGCTGCCACAGAAGCCAACAAGCGCCACGAAATACTTTCAACAGTTGACAAGCAACTTAGTAAGCTTTTTGCTACCAAAACGATCGTAGAGAGCGCAGCGTATAGATTTTCAAATTTATATATGTAGTTCAAAACTGTTTCTGCCTTGGATGGCGACGAGTTGTATGCACTAATTGTTTGTTATTTCTTTACTATGATATACATATAGGTTTGCCAAAAAAAGTGTTAAGTCTATTTTGCTTACCGACTTATTTATTCATTTTTGTTACCTATTTCGTATATCCAAATCTAAATAGCCAACTCTTAATTTTTTATTTTAAATTTATAGATATTAAATTCTAAATTTCTATTTCTAAATTCTTTGTTGTAAAAGATAGATTCGAAGTTTTAAATTCTGTAATAAAATTTTTTGAGTTTTTTATCTATTCTATATCTAGTATAGAATTCATATTCTATATCGTCGTGGAGAATTAAATAAACGACCATTTTTTTCTTGAGAGTTCCATACGGGTTAAAGAATTTTTTTATGGAAGAAAATATCATTTCTATTTCGTATGCATCTTTTTGATTAAATTTCTCGCTTTTCTTGAGAGCTCCAAACAACCCTTAAGCCGACGATTTGCTACATTCTTATTCTATATCGACGACTGAGTGAAAGATTGACGCCTTACTTCAAAATTTGTTTGAGAAACGGCCGGCCTATCTCAGAAC